CCGCTCCTCTGATGCTGCTTGGCCTGCTGTGTTCGTCCAGCTCTGCACCTTGTTGTTTTAGTGCAGTCGGATGTATTTTGATGAGTGCAGACACAATGGGCCGAATGGTCCTCTTCTTTGTTTGTGAATGCCTGTTGGTCTATGAGTCCACTAAAGAGAGAGGTGTCCTAGCATTTTGGGGGCCATCTGTTGGAGGGATTTCAGTATTTTGGCGGGGGAGGAGGGGGCGGTCACGCCCCAGCGTCCTTGGGATCCTCAGTATCTTCGGCTCTCAAGCGTTTTCTGCGGCGTGCCGAGTATTTGGCGGTGCGCGCGCCGCTGGTGGTGGTGGGGGGTCCACAGCAGGGGCGGGGCGTGGGTCGTTGCCGCTTTAAGAGGTGTTTCCCTTTTAAGGCGCTCAGAGCGAGGCTGCCGGTGACGTTGTTGTGTGTGTTGGGGGAGGGGGCGGGAAGAGAAGCTCGAGCGGTTTCAGGCGGAGCGACAGCGGCGGAGGGAGCGGTAACCCCCAACCGAACCGAGAGCAGCAGAGCGGTGAGGGTGGGGAGGGAATGGAGGGGGAAAGAAGAAGAAGAAGGGGAGTTGGGGGGGGAAGAAGGCGGGTGTAGGGGGTAGAGGATTGAGGATTGAGACGGGGGACGGGACGGGACGGGACATCACCGGGGGAGGAGGGATAGGATGGGCTGGGATGGGATGGAGGGGGAATTGAGGGGGTAGTGAGGGTGTGGGGCCCCACTGGGAGTGAAGGGAATTTTGTTTTTTTATTTGTTGTGGGGTGGTGGTGGTGGTGGTGGTGGGTGACTGAGGCAATGGGGAGCGGCCCTTTCCAGGAGAGGCCGAGGCCGCCGCCGCCGCTCCTGGGCCCGTCCCCAGCCGCAGGCCCTTGCGGTTCAGGGCGGGAAGCAATGCGGAGCCTCCACGTACCCTTCGCCACTCGACAGCGGGTGCGTGCAGTTAGGGCTGCCTCTTTTTTTTTCCCCGCCCTGGGCCTGCCAGAAGCTAGGCCCCTCGTCCCCGGGGTGAGAGTATCTGGGCCGGAGCTGAGGGCCCATCCCTGCTGTGGCTGGACTGACAGCAGCCTAAGCGTTGGCTGTGCCAGGCGGCAGCAGCAACAGCGTTACAAATCCCTGTGAAAACCTGTTCAATTTCCATATAGAGACTGGAATAATCAAATGGTAAACCAGTGTGACTTTTTCCCCTGTGCCTGCTTGAAGTGTAAAACACCAAAGTTATGCACTGTCGGGATGGAGTAACATTGAGCACAGTGGTGGATGTTTAATTCAAGCTGGTTTCCGAAACGTCAGCCTCTCTGCTCCTATGATGCTGCTTGGCCTGCTGTGTTCATCCAGCCCTGCACCTTGTTGTCTCTCTTCATACTTGTATGTTTGGTTGGGTTTAGTTGAAAAGTCAACCCCCCTCCACCTTGCTATTTACGCGAAATCCAACTCTCAACTGGGCAGCAGACTTGACAATCCAGTTTTCTTCTCCATTGTAGATCCACATTTCCAGCACTGAGTAGCGTAAATGATTCTTGCACACCAGTCACTGAAAATCCAACCTGCATGGGTATCAAAGCAACCTTGTGTAAATTGCCACAGCATGCAAATCTATTTTAAGTGTGACTGATTGGCTTAATGAAGTTGATGATCGACAGCAAATTGTGGAAATACATCTCAGTGACACAGTGGACCTTGAGTTAATGTTTGGGAGATCCTGTTCATCGGAACTAATTACTATAAATCTTTTGCATCAATCTATTCTCAAGGTTCAGTTCTGTTGCTTTTCAAATTGTTTTTCGTCAGTATTTGTCTCTGATTTTTTTTAAAGTAACATGTTTTATTGTGCTTTTAAACATTCTTTCAAAGCATCTAAAGCACTGATTTTAATTACTTGATCTGATTAGTTAATCTGACAGACCTCTTGAATGCAAACCACTACCATTACTGCAGAAACGAATCCAGAGATGTATAGATCTTAACTACCTTTGTCATTATTTATGTAAAGAGTTGTGCCCTCAGTAAATTTTGAAGTCTGTATAATCAAATTTTATTTACTGCTCAGTGAATGTGATGGGAGGTTTCAACTTGTATTTCTTGGTGATAGGACATTAAACAAATATGAGGTCTGAAAAAGATGGAACCTACAAGGTTAGTAAAATACTGAATCTTTCAGAAATGAATTTGTGCCTTGCAAGCATCTGCTTGGCTTGTGTTTTATCCAACCCTCCTTTGATTTCTGATAACCACTGTATTTGGTGCAAGAGTTCTATAGCTGATTTTCTGACTGGTATTTCCCATCGTGTTTGTAACATAAAGAGCTTAGCACAACAGATTGCAGAATTAGATCCTTTAAAAGGTGTGGCTTGTTACAAACAATTTCTCTTACCTGTGATAGTTGTTTGCTGGTTGGTCCCTGAGTCTCCTTCCTTATTCTGTGATGTTTCTTTCTGGATCCCTTTTTTGATAAAGCTTCTCTGTAGTCCTTTGTAAGACATAGCTTCCTTCTTGAGGTGAACAGTGGAATTTTTGAATATTAAAAGGGAGGAGAAAACATGTTCTAACATTTTTATATTTGGTTGTGTTGTGCAGTGTTGTAGGATTTCAGTAAATGTTATGGTGAGTGAAACTTTTCACTTCATTTGGACCTGAGCTTGGACATTATCTGACAACATAAATAAAAATTTTGTCTTTGTGTTCAAGTAACATATTGAAGTGTTCCCCATTAGACTGAAGTACTGATGATATCGCTGTACTTAACAGCACAATTGAATGTTCATTTGCATTGTTTTGTCATGGTCTATTTTACCTTGCAATAGCATGCAGGACTCTTGATATTCTTGCTTTAGTGTTGAGTTCAAATAATATTAAACAATTTCTGCTTTGTGCTAAACTTGTAATGAGATTGAGCATGTCTTAAGAGTCTGAGCAGAATGTTGGATTCAAATGTGTTGGAGTTCAAAATTTCTTTTCAGTGGAGGTTAATCAGCACCAACTCTTAACTTTTGAAAGTCACCTTGTGGTAATTTTTATAACATTAGTCAGTGCAGTGTTGCCAATGTAAAAAGATCAAACGTAGTTTGGAGTTGATTTGCTTTCAACTTCTTGATGCGTAGAAAACTGGGTTGGTCTTGTAGAAGGCAGTCCAGCACTGAGAAGTAGCTGTGAACTGCGAGGAGTGATGACTTCTAGTACTTCCCCTCCATAACTGAATATGTAAATGTGTCACTGCTATGAACCAGTAGCTTTTATTTAAGTTGAAGAGTGCTGTTGCCATGCTAGAAGAGTAGCGCAAGAAAAGATCTACGTCATGTGAAAAAATTCTCAAAAAGAACTAGGAAAGCCTTTGACTGCCCTGTGGGAATGTGTGGTTAGATTGTAATTTGTAATTTGTACGTTTTTTTTTTAAATCAATTTCTTTCCCTGCCAGAATTTCTTTGCTTTTGCTTGAATTATGTTATACATGATTTTTACCGTATTGGCAAATTGAGCATGGAATATGCTGGTTGGTGGATACTGGTATTAAACAGAACTGACAATTGTTGGAAGTAGTCCTAATCTGAGAGATGTTTAACACAGAGGGTTTTGTCTTAATTGTGAAGAGTGCGCACTTCCTGTGCTTGTGTTAACCAAGTATGGGGGAGTGGTGGAAATGAAGCTTCAGTCTTAAAATGGGAATAAATGTACTGCTGTTTGTCATCTGTATTGTATACTTTTTTTGAAAAGGCCTTTGTGTACTATAAAGTGGAATTGAAGCATTTTTAAAATTGTTAGAATTGAAGCACAACTCAAAGTAATTGTTAGCTGCAATGCCCAGTACAAACTTTGGTGTTTTTCCCAATTCTTTCCTTTATAGTGCTTTCACCATCTTCCACCTTATCTCTCTCATTCCTTCTTTGTCAACAAAACCCTTATTCACACCTCTGTTACTGTCAGACAATTTCTTCTGTACTTTTCTCTTTAACTCAATCATGTACGTCTGTCAGCGCCCTTGTCTAAGGTGCCGCACACCTGTTGTGTTCTGTTCCAGTTTGTACCCCAGGTTGTTGAATTCAAAGTCCTTTCCCTGGTTTACAGATCTCACTATAGCTTTTCTTAAGTATACCTCCTCAGCTTCCTTTCAACCCTGTGACCTTTGTCAACCAAGCTTGGTCTCCTGTGCATTTTGCTTACTACCACTCCACTAGTCTTAGAGGCATCAGTGCTAATTCTCCTGTCCTCGGTTCGTTTTAAATTGTCTGCATTGTTACTTCAGTCTTAAGATGTTTCGTCAATGTATTTCTTGTGTAGTCCTTGCTGAGTAATGTTTGGGAGGTTTTACATAGTAAAAGCGCTGCTGAACATATTGTTTTTTTTTTAAATGATTTAGTGGTAACTAATGTATGGCTTGAAAGATTTTTGGAAGGTTTTAACTATTTTTATGTAGAGCATGATAAGGTCCTCATGATTTGATGGAAAAATACATAGTACAGTGTCTGCAAACCTGAACTCATTGAGTCTAGCTCAATTTAATCTTCCTGAAATCCCGGTGGGCGTGAGAAACTGCTGGGCTTGTAGAAGTGACTGCATTTGCAGCAGTGTTGCATTTCTTCTTGTTTAATTTGTTCCTGCATATGAAATATATTTATTTAATGCTACATTTGGCAGAATTCCATTTCCTGTCGCTGTTTTTGATGCTTTAAGGACATTCCACATTCTTCAGACATTTAAAAAAAAAATAATCAAAAGGCCCTAGATTTTATTCGTAGACTGTATTGAGTTAGTGGTCTTCAGCTGGAGTTGAATATCGGAGAACATGGGGCAGAGATTGTGAGCAAAAAGTGGTGACTAGGCCAGAATTTCTTTTTTTATTAGAAAAATGTCTTTCTTTACTGAAAGTGTTAATTTGGAGAGCGAGGGGAATTTAGTGAGTCAATTTCTCTTGCCAAAGTTGTGTAGTTCAGAGGTACTGATTATGGAAATGAATGGCTATTTCTCACAGGGATTGGGTGAGATTTCAGAAGGTGTACCCTCTGGTATTTATTCACTATCTTTATAGGGCAAGAAGGAAAATTCCGAGACTCTGCATTTGCTTCAATTTGATAAGTCACTGAACTATTGAAACTACTTTGGTCAGGATTATTCATCTGTAGTATGTAATTAAGGCCCTTATCCTTGAGCCCACCTTCTGTTGGAGAGATTAAGCTGCATATTTTGAGATTTGCAGACTAAATATGTATGTTTTGACGTAGAATGAGGATCAAAATTTCAGCTACTGAGGAATATGCCCCAAAAGATATGCATGGAATAAATGTAAAACCACGTCATAGTGCACAAAGCAGATACCATGGGGTTGATGAGAGCAACGCTTCTGTTTTGCTTATTCTGATGTAATTTGTAGCCATCCATTTTAATTCCGAGTTTAGCCCCATTTAAAAAGTAGTGTTTTTGTTCGTATTCGATAACTGTTCCAGTTTGAGGACTGTTATAATGGATAAGTGGAATATTACCGGCAACAATGTGTGCTTATGTTCAGAATGTATCGTTCTAAATGAGGACTCTTCTATGTTCATTGGATTTCATGCAAAGCCAGTAGAATTTCAAGTTTGATATCAGTATAGCTGAAAACATTAGATCAACACTTTCTTTTCAGTGCAGCTATGTATGTAAAATTGTTCTTCCCCCTTTCAAAATAGTAACTTTCCTGTACAAAATGTTTGCACACCATATGTAATGTCTTTGTATATTTATAATCGTGACCTTGGAATTATGAAAAATTTCCAAGTGTCTTTTCAAAAAGAGAAATTTACATCTTTAAAACTTAGTTTTTTGTATGCTGGAAATCAAGGCTAACGTTTCACAGCAATTTGGTAGGTTCTGTCTGGCCAATATTAAACAAGTCAGCTTGGTAAAGGTGCTACTAAGCTTCTAACTGTGAAGGTGGAGTTCCAGTGTTCATATGATTGCTGAATAGAGTGACTTTTTTTTCCTTTTTTAATTTGTTGCTTACCGAGGGGGTGCACCTCATTGGAGAATCTTCACTGGTAATTTTCAGGTGGCTGATCAAGATCTTGTGAAGCTTTGTGAATGTGTTATTTTCTGCTGACGTCCTTTCTACAACCAGTGCCACAGTTAGCTGGTTATTCATCTCATTTTTGTTTGTAGAGCTTTGTGGTGCAGCACAGCTGTGGCTGCAACATGATTATCTAGAACATTTTGCTCGTAGGTGATGAGGTGTTGCATGATTGGAATTGTTAAGTTGAAGAGACCTAGAAAAGTAACCTATTGCCAGTAGGACTATTAGGGTTAGCTGTCATGTCATATTTTAGGAATACTGTGGTGAGTAATTCACTACTTGGTAACTCACCAATGACAGATGGCAAGAGTCAGTCGTACAGCATGGAAACAGACCTTTTGGTCTAACCAATCCATGCTGACCATGTTCCCAAACTCAACTAGTTCCACCTACCTACGTTTGGCCCTTATCCCTCTGAACCTTTTCCATTCCTGAACTTGTCTTTTAAATGTTATAACTGTACTACTTTCTCTGGCAGTTCATTCCATACACGAATCATTGTTTAAAACAAAAAGTTGCCCCTCATGTTTTTTTTAAATCTTTCTTCTCTCTCCTGCCCCCTAGTTTTGAATTCTGCCACACTAGGGCAAAGACCTTTGTCATCTTATGTATGCCCCTCATGATTTTATGAACCTATAAGGTCACTCCTCAACCTCCTATGTTTAGTGAGGAAAGTCCCAGTATTTCCTGTCTATTTTTATATCTCAAACCCTCCATTCCTGGCAACATCCTGGTAAATCTTTTCTGAACCCTCTCCAGCTTAATATCCTTTCTATAACAGGGCAATCAGAATTGAATACAGTACTCCAGAAGAGGCCTCACCAGCATCCTGTACAACCTCAACATGGCATCCCAACTGCTTTTAATGAATGATCTGACTGATGAAGGCAAGCGTGCCAAATGCTGCCTTAACCACCCTGTCTAATGGTGACACAAATTTTTAAAGAATTAAGTACTCGAGCTCATAGGTCAGCTATGTGATAGAAATAATGTCAGAGCTTCTAACAGTCTATGTTCAAATGTAGCAAGACTTGGATAATATCCAGGTTTGGGCTGACATTGGCAAATAGTATTCATGCTACACACGTACCAGGCAATGACCATCTTCAATAAGAGAATCTAACCAGTGCCCCCTTGACATTTAGTGGCATTGCCATTGCTGAAGCCCCCACTACATATATCCTGGGGTGGTTATTAACCAGAAATTGAACTACACTAGC